CTCCCCTCCCCCCGAGACAACCTGGGAGTCCTGGCTCTAACCACTAGCCCCCAATCCCCTCCCAGAGCCGGGAGACAACCCGGGAGTCCTGGCTCTCACCACTAGCCCCCACTCCCCTCCCCCCGAGACAACCTGGGAGTCCTGGCTCTCACCACTAGCCCCCACTCTCCTCCCCTTGAGACAACCCAGGAGTCCTGGCTCCCAGCCCTCCCCCCCACTACTCCCTACTTCCTTCCCAGGGTGGGGTGACCCCGGGGTGCGGGCCCCTTGCAGAAATGAAGCACACACACAGCGAGGAGCAGCCATCTCTCTGTACTTGCTCTGTACACATGACATTGCACCTGGCAACAGACTACCAAGTCCCGGGTCCCCGGCGAGCGCGCGCCCTCTTGCGCCTGGCAGCCTGCGTCATGGCTAATCACAGCTGGGCCCGGGGCCCGGGGCCCGGCCCAGGGCAGGGAAATTGTCTGTCTCCAGCTGCTGCTGCAAACCCGAAACTGCGGAAATTCTGCTTTCTGCCTTGGAAATACCCGTGCCCTGGCACAGAGGGTGCTTCACAGAGGGGAAGGGAAGGGGGGGCTAGTGGATTAGAGGGGGGCGAGGCATCCAGACTCCTGGTTTCCCTTCTCTGCCTCTGTGTGACTTTGGGCCAGTCACTGTGCCTCAGTTTCCCCCCGTGAAGTGGGGATAGTGCGGTGAGCCCAGTGTGCAGGGCTGAGGGGGCTAATCAGTGTTTATTAAAGTGCTAGTCGCATGGAAGGTGCTGGCTCCGGGTCCTCCAGGGCCTCTCATCGCCAATGTCCTGGCCAGCTGCCTCGTGGGACTTGTGTTGAGGCACCTAGAACCCCCCCACCAGCGCTGGAGCAGGTGCTGGTAGAAAGGCCTTGCTCTGCAATGAGTCAGCCCTGAGTTCCCAGCCGGGCAGGGCATCTTGGCACCTAGCGCTCGCCTGGCAAGGGCGCGAAGAGCGGATTGGTCTAGAACGGGCTGACACCAAACTGGCTGGGAAGCCCAGATGGGCCAGAAGCTTTGCCAGCAACATGCCCACCTGAAGGGGTCCTGGGACCGCGAGCACCAAAGAGCGGGTCTGTGGATCCTGGTCCGTCATTGGCCAAAGCGAGAACTCTCCCCGGCTCCCACGCAGCCGCAGGAACATTTTGTGGCTTAGGGCCTGGCTGTTAAGAGCTTTCACCTTTGTTAAATAAAGGCCAGTTGAAGTTTGTTACTACCTTGCTTGCATGATACAACACCCCGTAGGGTAACCTAGAACCCCAGCTCAGTCCACACCCAGCTGGGGCAAACTATCCAACCTAGATCATGCAGCAAGGTAGTAGAGCTCTGGGTTGGTCGCTACAGCATGTCCGGATGTATAAAGTGGCCAGGACAGATCACTTAGTGGTCTAGAACCCTCATCCAGTCAATTGGGTTAGCCACAGGCGCTGCAGTAGGAGAACCTAGCACCTGTGGGCAGCTACCACAGATTACCCAGTCAGATAGAACTGGACAATTTAGATCAGCCAAATGCCAAACCTTTGCTTGGTCCTCATGCAGCATTCAACATAGGAGGCTGAATGCCTAGAACGGCCCTGTCGGCCCGCCTACATCAGCTTGGGCAAACAAGAGGGGAAGGTTTAGGAAGCCTGCAATAGCTACAGATCTTCCAGTTGAGGGACCTAGAACATCCAGTGAATGGTCTAGGCCAGTGGTTCTTAACCTGGGGTGCACGCACCCCTAGGGGGTGCAAGATGCCCTTTCTGGGGGTGCAAGACGCACCAGATTTTTAAGGTATCTCTTAGGTTTAAAACTGACCTACTTCAACGATATTTAATATTTTAAGAATGGCCGGACTGGGTCAGACCAAAGGTCCATCTAGCCCAGTATCCTGTCTGCCGACAGTGGCCAGCACCAGGTGCCCCAGAGGGGGTGGACCAAAGACAATGATCAAGCGATTTGTCTCCTGCCATCCCTCTCCAGCCTCTGACAGACAGAGGCCAGGGACACCATTTTATCCCCTGGCTAATAGCCTTTTATGGACCTAACCTCCCTGATTTCGAGACCCAAAGGGGTGCAGGCTGCAGTTAAGAACCACTGGTCTAGAACAGCCCAGCGAGTGGCCTAGCACATCCGGGTGGCAGCTCGTTACCCAAAGACTCCTCCGTAACCGGCCAGTTCAGCTTCCTTTGTGTGGTGCTGGCGTCTTGTGACCGATCACTCCACCCTGACCCCTCCGCCTCCCACCCCCTAGAGCCTCTACAACCAGCCTCCGGCATCTCAGCTTTTCCTGAAGAACGACAGGAAGCTGGTGCCATTGGGTGCGCTGGTCCCCCGTCTAAAGAAAGGCGAGGACTTGGCCTGCGCCGGGGGCCTGGAGGGAGCTGGGGAAAACGCCGGGTTCTCTTCCCGCTGCCGCTGGAGCTTCAGCTGCTGCTTGATAATGAAATCCATGTCATCCTGGGGGGAGAAAGGGGGGCAGAGGTGAACATTGCCACAGGCCGGGGGGGACCCAGGAGTCCGGGTCAAGGCCCCAGGGGCTCTACCCACTAGGGACGGGACCCAGGAGTCCGGGTCACGGCCCCGGGGGCTCTACCCACTAGGGACGGGACCCAGGAGTCCGGGTCACGGCCCCGGGGGCTCTACCCACTAGGGACGGGACCCAGGAGTCCGGGTCACGGCCCCGGGGGCTCTACCCACTAGGGACGGGACCCAGGAGTCCGGGTCACGGCCCCGGGGGCTCTACCCACTAGGGACGGGACCCAGGAGTCCGGGTCACGGCCCCGGGGGCTCTACCCACTAGGGACGGGACCCAGGAGTCCGGGTCACGGCCCCGGGGGCTCTACCCACTAGGGACGGGACCCAGGAGTCCGGGTCACGGCCCCGGGGGCCACCACCAGCTCAGAAAGGGACTCAGGAGTCCTGGAGGGAACATTCCTGCCCCCTCGTTACCCACCTGCCAGCCCTCCAGCTCCTGGGACAGCGCCATCTTCTGGCGGATGGCGGAGAGCAGCTGTGGGCTCATGGAGTCCCGCTCCAGAGAGACTTGAGCCAGCTCCAGCTCCATCTGGCCCTTCCTGGGGGGAGGGGGGGGGAAGGGTCAGAG